GCAGCTCATGGTGCATATGGATCACAAACGAGTTGCGTTATGTTTGAGATTCAGTGCCCGGACTATCTTATTGTCAGTTGAAGATTTACAGTATATGTTGAGGATGAGGAAGATATGATTCACTTTGTCGTAGTGAAGATGCAAAACTTTTGATTATTTACTGTTGCTGTGGTCAGTCTGCCAGGTTGAAACAGTCCTCAGGTTCATGATCTGGGTTTCAGTGAAGTGGTTGTAGCAGCTTTCCTTTTTTCTATCTCTATCATTCGACATTGTGTGTTTGGTTGCAATCTCAGTATCTCCGCAAGGAATATGTGTGGAGGGGATCATGTGTTTTCTCATCATATTATGAGAAGTTTCATTAAAATAATACTGACTGTGTTTTACCGTCATTGATGGCTCACTCACTGAACTCTCCAGTTGTTTCAGCCAGTGATAAAAAAACTGTTTCAGTTCAGGTTGGTAGTATTACTGAACTGTTTCCATTAGATCCATGTGATTGTGTCTCAATGTATGCATCAGTGTTTGAAGCTCCAGCAGGCCCTGTCCATGGTGCTGAGGGTCTGTGTTTTGGATGACACATTGAATAGTTATACATCTTGAACCAAACCTGGAATCTGCCAAAGCCACCGACTTCGTTTTAAGAAACAAACCTGTACATCAACCTGTGCGGCAGGAACCAGACGCAGACCCTCAGACTGAAACCACCTAAAGTTGCTCTCTGTCTAACCACATAGACTGATAAAGCTGCTTGGGAGACAATATAATACCATGGCCAACCTTTCAGTCATCATTGCTGCCAGGCTGCATGGCGTTCATTGTCTGCAGATGCAGATCTTCAGTGCTAGAGAGAAAGGCCCCTGGGGCCATGTCAAGCTAATGATGGCAGCCAAAGGAAATTGGATCGATTTACGTCCCTTCAGGCACAGTTTTAGAAAATCCTAATCAATGTAGAAAGACAAGGAGTGCTAAGCTTTCCCAACCAATTAGATTTGGCCATGCAGCTAATTACAATTCATTGAAAACACATAGAAATCCCCTCTTTCAGACAACAGTCTTTAAAGTCGTTCTTTATCTCAAGAAATGTCAGGAACTAGACAGGGTGACGGTGGGAAAAGATGGTTGTAATAATATCAGGGAAACACACACAAATGGGATTATTTCTATATCAGAGTTTTACACAATCTTTGACAATGACTGGCTGATTATCTCGTTAGATAAAGAGTGTGTATCAATTTATCTAGAATAATAGTTACACAAATATTTTTGTCAAACAGAGACTGACCATGTATTTCAGCAGTCCAAGTCTCATTTTAAAAAGAGTAACAAAAAAAAAATCGTTGATACAATATTAATACTTTGATACTAATTTACTCACTTACAATTTACTCACTTTTGAAGTAAGAAGATATGATTCTACACTGTATTGAAGTAAACATGTATTGTTTGAACGGGTTTTGATAATCACTTAGAAAAAGAATGTTATTCTCACTTTTAAACTCACTGATCCAGAGATTCTGTGTTTCACACACCAACATTGATCCTTATCACCACTAAGAGCCAGATGCTGTTTCTAAGTCGTTAAAGACATCGTAAAATAAGAAAAGATCCCCTGGAAAAGGTAGGGAGGGGAGATCGGGACGGAGATAAGAATTGACTTTTGACCTTAGGGGACTTTGGAATTTCAAGTCCTGGAGAGAACTATTGAACCCGGCCAGAAGCGAATCCAGCCAGTCAGGGCACTTGGGGGAGGTGGTCAGTTTAAACAGCTCCTCCCCAGGGCTTCTCTGATTCGCTTGGGAGAAAAGTGGGAAGGAAGAATCGACAAATCTCCGCCCCAAAGACAGATAGAAATACTGACGTTTGTGTGTGTAAAATTGCTTTTGGGTTTGGTGAGTTTGTTGGTTCCGATATCTGTGTCCGCATCGAATCACAAACTTGAAGTCCAATTTCTTCTCGTTTGATGAGTTTGTCTGGTCCCGATGCATTTATCCGCATCGCATCACAAATCTAAAAGCCCAGAGTACTCGAGTACTCTGTATAACTTGTATATGTGTTTGATTTCCTACCAGTAAACTCAGATAATTGTTGTAACTTTTGATTCCGGTGTTTTCAATTCCTTTCTTAATTTAATAGAGATCCAGCCTCATCCAACGAACGGCGCGTAGCAGAGGTATTCTACTCCAACACTTTTCATCTTGAAGACCTGAGTTAATCTGGCAATTTAAAAGGTAGGGTAGGTAAGAATGGAGAAACCAGCTCGAGTGCGCTAGAATTTGAAAGTACGCAGCCGAAAAACATCTGCCCCTTCCTTCAGACTTCCCTACAGAGCCCCTCCTCCAACACACACGAACGCGCACATGACCAGGGCACCAGATAAGTGTGTGCACAGATGGAAGGCTGACAGGCAGGTAGGCCATCCAGTTATTTTAGCCGGGCCGGCTCAGATGATTGGTCGTGCTTTTTACAGCGCCACGGCTTCCACAGATGACATGTTTTAATGTATTTATTGTCAAAGCATGTAATGTATTCATTGCTATCGGGATGTTAAGAGCATTCCATGGAATATAACAAAAAGTGTTTCTGAAGTGAATTACATACCCCACCTTTAATGTATATTTTCCAGCTACGTTTTTCATTTGTTTTGCTTATCCTGAGATTCATATGGTGCATTTAAGTCAAAGTGTCTGTTCTGACATCTGGGAGATTGGTGACACTATTAATAAATGTTTTTCTAGATTACATTTTGGGAGCTATATTTATTAGATGTTTAAAGTCTGACACCTAGAGGGAGATCACTTATATGTTCATCTAGACTAGAGGCTGAAAACATTTATTGCAGTTGCAGAATGTTGGAGGTATAGTAATGCCGCCATCTAGTGGGTGACATTCATAATCGCAAGTCAGAGAAGTACATATTGCAAATGTGAAAACACAATCTTTAGTCATTCAGGTTAAAGAGTCATCTTGTGGTATTACATATTTTCTAGTGCCTTATATTGACATATTAGAAAAAAAGATCATGGCGCCAGCATTAGCCAAAAAAAGTGTTTGTGTCCTATTTGTACCTCACACTCAAAGGCAGAACAAACGAAACAAAAGATCTTTAAAATGTAAATATGTTGGTGAACAAGTAGCCCACATATAAGCCTGTCATCTTTAGCCTCAGCCATATTTTTGTTGAACTTAGGAAATGTACGGGATCTTTTCTACAGCCAATCTTTTTTGAGGGTTGTGAAAGGCATTGCCTCACCTCAAATGACCTTTAAACACAGCAGATAAGAGTTAAGCACCTTGAGATGACGTTGTTTTTAAAGTGTGCTATATAAATCAAATGTATTATTATTATTAGTATTAATGCAGGAGTAGCCTAGGACAAAAAGCAAGCAGCTTCCATAGTCGTACGTTCTCACCTCAGTACCTTCCCAAGACCTCTCTTTCTTTGCTGTCAACACGCTGACCCTCGTGGGCCTCATGTTTCCTGGGACCTGTCCCTCCTGCCTGCTTTCCACAAGACTGAGTAATCGTGGTGGAAGAAAAGCATGCGTCAGGTCCTGCCTGCCTGCTGCTCACTGACCCTCACTTGTACACAGCACTGCATGAGTCAGTTCATCTGGGAAATAACCTTATAAGGCTGATGGCATGTCATCTGTATTACTTTGCCAAGGCAGCAAGTCAGTCTGGAATCAGAATGTCTGGAGAGAGGAAAGAAAGGCAATTTGTTGTATTATGGGACAGAGCTGTAAAGTACAAAGGTACCAATTATTGAAGAATACAATGCACTGTGAGATAATGATTATGTGTTAATGAGTTACTGCATGAAATATGTCCCCTTAAAACCAAGATGTATCATGTAAACACATTCCTACATAACAATGTCTCAAATGGCAATGTCTGCATTCCATAAAACAATTATCTCGTAATAGCTAAACACAATACAGGATACATCGTGTATTTCAGTCTACTATTTTTTATAATGTTTGATGTTTATTAGGCCTTTTTTGTAGTCAACACCATAGACTACATTACCCATGTCAGAAAGATCTGATTTCTCTTGTTTTGCCTTGTTTGCCTGTAACATTTTTTTCTTCGAATGGAGGATTTCTAAATTAAGGTGAAAAAAACCACTCAAGACACACCAACAGTTTACAAAGTCTCTGCATTTCAAACAGAGCAGTAGCTAGATGTAAATCTGTCTAAACAGGACCTTTAATTACAGCCTTGAGAGTCTTTGATCTGTTTCTTTTATGGTTTAAGTAGCTACTATTCCTGGAAAGAGGAGGGCAAACTCTACCTCCTCTGTTAGTGATGTCACCATAATTCACTGCAGATATTTTCCTCACAACTTCAACAGCTGGAAGTTGATGATATATTATATTCAATATGTGTTTATTGACATACGATGAATGATTAAACAAATATTGGGATAAAGCCATGTTTTGAATTCTGATTGACTTTGGGCTCAAAGGTTAAAATGACATGCAACTGTTTTGTATTTCTTCTCTTTTTCCACTCTTAGTTTGATTATTTTCCAAACTGCCACGTTGCTGTCTGTCTGTTTTGGGAATGGCCTGCTTCCACAGAGGGCTGTCTGTCTGAACCTTGAACACACAAGGTTCCCTCTGTTAGCTGTCATTATGACACACGCAGCAGAAAGGGGTCACCCTACCCTCTCACCCTCTCTCTCTCCATGACTCAGGGATGACAACTTCAAACTTTTCAATCAGAGTTGTGCCCCAAAGAGTTACTCCATCCCTTTAGGGATGGGGAGGCGGGGTTAGTGCCTCTCCAAATGCATCCCTGAGACCTCCATACTCTCTCTGTTCACACCAAAAGCTCAGGAGGGGCTGTCCTGTGGGCGGGGTTTATGATAATAGCCTCTAGAGGAAGTGAGCGCAGTGTAGTGGAATGTAGTTGCCATTAGTGGGAGTTGAACTGAGGCTAACAGCTAGCCTGCTATGTTGAGCTGCTGATCTGGAGACGCAGAGGACAGTGATGAAAACATGCCTCACTTCACTGTGGTACCGGTGAAGGATCAAGCTCAGGACAGATATGACAGCCTAGAGGGCATCAACTGGGTGGATTACAGACACACTGGGCAGGATCATCAGGACACTGTCAGCTCTGATGGTGAGTACATCACTTGTACTCTGTTTTTACCTCTAAGCTTTGACACAACATGACTACTTTTGTTGTTAAAAGTTGATCAAAAGTGCCCTTTAAGTAATACTTGATGAGTTTTGCCTGAGCATGGGATAGCCCTGCTTTGTCCACTCTGAACAGCTGATTCTATGGTTACCATGGCAATTCTCCAGAGCCAGAAAGCAGTTCTTCCTACAGCAGTTTTTGACAGCTCACTTTGGGTAAAGTAAAAACACTACCTATGTCATGTTGGGAGTACTTTTTCCAACATGTAAACGTCTTTTTAAATTAAATTCCAGGACATACAGTATATGAGTAAGAAAGCCACAACAATGAAAGGGGTGAGAACCGTGGGGGGGGAAACACCACAGGGCTGGGACTGTTTGAGGGGGGCCCCGGTACCGCCGCAGCAAGAAAAGGCCTCAAGTGCTTCTTTGCACAAAAGATGGAGCTCGCTTTGTGCCAGGGGAGGGTTTCCTTTCACTAAGATTGGCTGCTCAACAACGTAGGAGCAGATTTCTCCCTCCTCGCTTGTCCTTCGCAGCTTGTCTCTCACTGTCACTCACTTGTTTCTTCACTGTATAAGCATGTAGAGAGAGGAGGGGGGGCAATCCCAGACAGAAGAGAAAGGGAGGACAGAGGGAAGACAAGGAGACAAGGAGTGAAGGCTTTGTAGCCGCTGGGTAGGATTAACAGAGAGCAGCACTGATTTGTGTGGGCTGGGAGTGAATCAACGACGGGAACAACATTTTTTAATAAAAGACATACATAGGTGCGGCCGTCCAATGAAGCACCCACGCTTTGCTGAGTGCCCAGAAGGCCATGCTGGGATGAAACCCACACACTGACTGGCCACCCACTTATACTACCTTAACACGTCATGCTGACTATGAGCTCCCTACAACAGAATAACACAGGAAGTGACCAGGATTCAAGGCTTACGACTCATACAAGTAGCTGTTACTGTGTGAATGAGCCTGTAGTGTTTGAGAGCCATTCTGTGTACAGGGAAGGGATCTGTGTCTTTGTGGATAATAATGAATGCACGTGGAAGCGTTTGTAAGAAAACTAGCCATGCAGATGAGGAGATCTAAGTTACGTGAGCCACCCGGATCAGATACACTGGTGTTTGAAGCGTATCAAGAAGGAATCGAATCACATGTTGAACTGTCTGTGTGTTTATTGCTGGAATGCATGGAAGTTACCCTTCAGAGGCACATCTCAAACAGCAGGAACTCAAGATAGTATAGGTGTTAGAAAACTGTGATTGAAGTCTTAAAAAGTAGTGGAATGAATGTTGTGTAAGCAGGACTCTGTAGAAGGAAAAGCAGATGTCCTGAAATAACCCCCTGTTTTATGGTTGCGTTTCGCACTTGTTGCTGCCTCCCTCGTCTTCCTGCTGTTATCATTCTCTTTAAACCAACCGAGGAGAGCTTCCTGAGAACAACATCAACAACTATTAAACGTAGTGGGTAGCTGAGAGGATGAGTATATGTTGGACAGTTTGAGCAACAGGAGGAGGAGAAGAACAGGGAAGTGAGACTGTGAGGAATGATGAGATGGAGCAAAGGTTACACAGTTTGTTTGCATTAAGTTCAAAACACACAAATAAACAGAAACAGCTACTCAAGTCAATGTTTTCTTTTTTTATAAGAGCGTTATACCAGACCTTTTTCTCGGCACAATTTAAAAAAAGAAATTGGTTTTGTTTTGAGGGACAAGTGCAGAAACAATATTAGAACTTGGTAAGACTTACTTTTAATTGTAGTCTTGTAGCACGTACATGTTTAGTATTTTTCCAACTTGAGTTCAACATGCAGCATTATGAAATAGTCAGGCAGTTAAAAGTTGGGTGGGATTGTTTTTGCTGTGGTAATACCATTTTAAAGAGCCTGCGTGTTCTGGATGATTTCACCATGGGAGTGGTGGGCTTGGGTTTGGGTCTCCAGTGTGACGTCTGCAGCTCGGAGGAAGTGACACAGTGCGAGTCTGTTTCTGCCTGAGAGCTCGGCTCTGTTCAGCAGGACAGGATGAACACTGTGCTCATTGTAGCTGTGCCCCCCTGAGCAGAGCAACTAGGAAAGTTTGTTGCTGAGACTTGCACTTCTGAGTTTTTTTTAAAGGCTGCATATTGGATTGTTGTTTGTTGGAACATGACCTTTCCCAAGCCCAAATTGCCTCCAGTCGTTTTACCAAGAGCTGGTTGATATCTTGTTAGCTTCATTTGCAGATGGTAAAAGTAACAACGAATATAATCTTTTATAGTCTATAACAGTTTCTGTTGTGATGAGTCCTTTTGCTTTTTCGCCTTGGAAAGAATTGAAAGAAATGTGGAAACAAATTTGTGGCAAATTAATGATTTAATAATGTCACAACCATAGAGTTTAAAAAGAGAGAAATTAAAAGTAGGTGAGAAAGAGACACACGTTTCTCTTCTTCAGCACTGCCTGTAAAACTGTACAGTTTCCAGTCTGAGATTATGTGAAATAAAATCCCATGAACTAAATATAGCTAACTTGCTAGAGAAAGTACTGTTAACATAACAAATTACATTGAAATACAATGTATATACCTACATTTAACTTGTATTCCCTCTATGATTATAACAGAGTCATTTGACCCATTGTTTTGATAAGTTAATAAGCATTTTCATTCCTTCATTGTTATTGTAAAAAGAAAAAATGTGCAGCTGTCTAAATACTGTACTGTAACCATGTTGTGCAAGTATGTCTCTGGCTTTTATTGGCCTCAAACAAAACAGGTGCTGAGAAACCTAATAAGTGGCTGAATTGGAGATTGTTGTTTGGATACCCCTTATCTAATGAAAGATATTCCTGTCCTACTGTCTGGGGAACTACTCAGATAAACTTAGAAAGATAAACGCACTGTGTGGAGCTGATGACAAAGTTGGAACAAATTCAGATAACCACACAGTGTGTTTTTACACAGCCCTTCACAACTATAAGTTTACGCCTTTGAAATACTTGTCAGAGATGTTAAAGAAGATTGTGCTTTAAATAACTGATTTGTCACGCATCATTTCCTATGATACAACTATCTCGCCATCCAATCATCTGCCATCTTTGTTCCATCTGCTCATTCACATCAAAGTGACAACTGCAGAGCAGCAGACAATGTTTTCCAAAGAGTATCTCCAGTCATTCCTAAGGATCTCCTATCAAGCAAATGCCTTCAGTGTTTCCTCTACCCTATACAGAGGTCTTCTTCACTGTCTCACTTTAACACCAAACAGATCAATGCAAACATAGATACAGTACTACAGATGAAAGCATAGATAGTTTAGAGTCTGAATGATTCACACTGTGGCTTTCTGTGGTGCAAGTTATGGACATTATCATGATCCAGTACATGAGAAATGTTCAGACAATTCTGTTAAACAGATAAGATAAGGAAAATGTTTCTTTCGTGATTGCAGGCAAATTCTGGCTATTCAAATTAAGCAGGCTTGTGTCTATTTCCAAACAGGTTTGTTAGCAGATCTGACAAGGGAAACATTAAAGAAGAAGTTACTTCAAGAAAAGCAGCAACTGTCATGATGTCGAGGACGCTTCCTTGGTAGGACAAGTCCCTCCGAGTCAGGTCCTTCAGAAGCGATGCAAGAATCCTTCCTAGCCTCGGAAAACAAAGAATGGTGGAACAGGGTGTTTCTCAATGTCGAGGACGCTTGCTTGGTAGCACATGTACCTCCGAGTCACTTGCTTCAGAAGCGAGGCAAGAATCCTTCCTAGCCTCGGAAAACGAAGAATTGTGGAATAGGCTAACAGGTGTGCAGGTGTGCGTCATATGCGAGGCCCCGCCTTAAATGGAGCGCGATTTCCGCCAAAGATTTGGAAATTGGTCCGTGCGCAAAGCATTGTGGGGAAATTTCCCGCAACGAAGGACGCCGGCCTCGGTAGAATTCCAAGCATCCTGGACATTGGAACAGTCCTTCGGCGGCACTCGATGACGTAGCATCCTTGAAATAGTGGCTCTGGAGCACCCTTCCTCAACATTGAGAAACACCCACTGATTGTCTGATTTTGTTCACCTGTTGCCCTCTCCAGCTGTATCTTGTCTTTCTGATTAGTCTTGTGAGTATAGTCTTGTCATCCCTTGTCAGTTTGTCGTCGTTCCCATAATTGTCCCTGTTGGATTTGTCCAGATCCTACCTCTTGCTCCCCGGTTGGTAAATGTTTAGTTTTTCTCACTTTCTCTTTGTTATCAGCTCTTTTTTTTCAATTTAAACTCACTTTTTGTTGAGAATACTTGATTTCTTATTTTATACTGCTCTTGGGTCCACCTTCCTGCCTAAGCATGACAGCAACAGGAGCTTCTTCATTGCATTTCTAAGAGCCGGCATTTAAATTGTATATTACTTTGTCCTTCTTGAGTTTTATTTTTAGACATAAAAGTAGGAGTAAATGATATGACTTTTACAACAGTCTTGGTTGGACGTCATTTAGTAATACATAGTAACTTTGTTTTCATTAGCTACAATGGGACTCAAACCCCAGTCTTAAAAATGGTGTCTGATTTATTTTGAACAAGGATAACACATATACTTACTTAACACCCAAGATATTTCTGAAGGCAGTTTTTTCGTTCACTTTCTATCATTTGTTTACGAGTTAAGTGCTGTCAGTCATCAAATTCACTAATACTTCCAACCTCCTCTTTGGACGTCACAGTATACAGCTTAATGAAGTACTGAATGTACTGAGGGGTTAGCATCTTGTTGTTTACCTCCATGGCAGTGTGCTGTTTATGATATTATCAGGACATCATGTGTAGATAAACAAGGCAGTGGTTGTTCATCAATGCCTCACCGTTTATCACATGTAGAAAGTAAATGTCTATGCTGAGTCTGCTGGAAATATACTGCTGACAAGTTGTTAAGTGCATGTACATACCACACTTTGGGTGTGTTTGGTGGTTAGTTCTGCACCCATTTGCTTGCCTATTTAGTTAATTTGTGTCTTTTCAAAAGT